AACCACTTCACCCGCTAGAAACCACCCAAAAACCACCCCTCCCCCGAAAACCACCCACTCAAGGACGGGGGCAGCGCCTGAAAGTATGCAAGAATTCATAAAAAACCCCAAGCCAGCGGCTGTAAAGAAATCAAATGAGTTCGACTGGAATGGAATGGGGGGCTAAAGCCCGAGAACTCAGTTCAATCATGCAAAGTGGCGACCAACTAAAAAAGAAAAGCGGAACGGCCATGGGGAAATGGAGGAAAATCGCGGGGGAAAATCTTTGGGTAAGGGGATAGTAGCGAGAGCATGACGAAAGTATTGCCAACAAATGAAGTCATTTGCATGCATGACAATTGTTATTGCATATTTTTTGGCGCACGCGCTAATATCGAAATTGACAAAATGCCCCAAAAACCAAAAACCCCCCTCATCAATTGAACTACCCTTTTATGCCTTTTATGCTGGATGTGCTGCTCTCCCTTGTCGACAAAGAAATTTATGCCACATAAAGAACTATAAACGTCTATAAAAAATGAAAAAGAAGAACTGACAGGCAGGGCAATAAAAATGAATTGGCGACAACTCCGGATATATGAGAATATGCTATCTTTATAAAGACGGAAATTGTCGAAAAGTGCGAGAGATTTAACAGCATTTTGCGGCTTGTCTGGATTTTTTTGTTCGCCCCTTATTTTTTGAGGGGGGCTATTGAATCGGAAAGGGTTTAATATACAGCAATCTGCTCTAAATTGATCTCTTATTCGAGATGAAGTCATCTCTTGGGAAGATTATGATGGTTATTAAGTTTCGGGGGTGTTTAAAATGAAGTGGAAATATATGGAGTGTAAGTTTACAACAATGATGGTTGTTAAAAATGCCTACAACATATATTTACAATTATATAGTACATATGCAGTAAAAAAGAGCGCCTCCAGTTCTCCAACTCCAAAAATATATCATTGCATACTTTTAGACACCTATATAAATTATTTTGTAAGTTTATCAGCACACTCGATATAAGTATTTTCTTTTCAATTTTGGCTTCATTTTAAGAGGGAAAAAATATTCAAATGAGAGTTCGTTTTTTAGGGGTATATCGCATAATAAAACAACACGCCCAAAAGGTGCAGTCGATGTCAGTTGGCTTTTGGCTTTGACATTTGATGAATTACACGCATGGTAGAGCAAAAAAAAAGGAAAATAAAACAACAACTAGAATCAACTACACATCTAATTAGACTGGGGACACCATTTTATTGCACACTCACTTAGAGTTCGTGGGTCGAGGGTCGGGGGTCGGAGGTCGCGGAGTGTGTGCCTTTCGAGGTGTGTCCCGGCGATTTTTCACACCACTTGCGGTGGCTGTTGTTGCTACTTCTAATTAATTAATTAGCTTGATGACAAAACAAACGCGCTGCTGATGAGCTCGAAAAAAAGAAAATATCGTAATGGAATTGGAAAATGTAAATTTAAACGCGGCGACAAGGTTACAACTGATGTAAAAATTGGCATATAAGGAAATTCTCAAGAAATCAGGGGTTTTAATAAAACAAAATAGTTGTTTACCATCTAAAAAGATATTCTTTTAAATTCTATACTCCCTGAAATATTGATAAATACTTGTGTAAAATATAAAAATCAATAACTCCCCCCTCAAACATTTTAACTCCCACTTGGGAAAGCAGGAAAACTCTCAAGGCCGTTTATCATTTGCGGCTCATAACTTTGTGCAATATGCAGAAGGCGCCCAAGTCCACCCCCCGGGAAAACCCACCTCCACCCTACCCCCACCACGCCCCCCGTGGCGAGGGCGGCATGTGAAAATGCAAAGCTGTCAATGAGTTATGTTTGGCGCTATCATAAAATTTGACAGGCCTCCTACCCCTATAAAAATTCGCCCTCCCATTGGCAAACTTATCGAATCGCTCGCTCTGAAGTATGCAAATATTTCCCGGCGGAAACGGAAGCTCACATTTAAGAAAGTCGATGGAAAGGATTGCGGCTCACAATCTTCATCTCACTCTTTACTTGTCTGCGTCTGTGTTTATTGATTGCACTTGACAGAAAACATTTAAAGTATCAAAATAAACTCCTTAAAAAATTTATGTAAGAAAAACAAGACTTATTTTGAATATTAAAATACTTATATTTACTTATACACAAAAAAAAGTACCTCATGTCTACCAAATGGAATTATATACTAAATATTAAAATTCGCTTAAATTTTCATTTAATTATTTAAAAAGTGTATTTATTTTGTTTTCCAAAAGTATCTTTACATTTTCATTTCATTTTTTTAAACAATTTTTCCCAGATTTTAAATTAAACCAATATATAATTTCGCCCCCATTTGTGCCTGTGTATCAAGTGAAAGTGCTGAAGGATTATTGGTTGAACACAAGTAGACAACTTGGAATCCTTATTGAAAATCAATGACGTCATGTGGCGCATCTCTCTGCCAAAACTTTTTGGCAAGGCAAAAGATAAAGGTTTCAAGTGGATTTACAGAACACTAATATATGTATGCACTTTACTTAAAAATTGCAACAAGTTTCTCAAGCCTTAAAACCTATTTGAATTTCCCCCCGTCCTAAAAAGTGTGTGCCACAACAATATCTAATGCACAGTGTTAGTGTGCGTCTGTGTTTATTACTCTGTCAATTGTTTGTGTATTTTGCATGTGCAATATTCCACAATTTTCACACTTATTTTTGAGTATTATCGAAAAAGTTTTCCCATCATCGAAGCGCAAAAGGCAATTGGCCAAAACAGGCACGTCCTTGCCACCCTTTTCCCCCCATTTTTGCAAACATTTTCCACACACGTTTTACGTGTCCAATTGTGAATGCGAATATTCATTGGGAAACTCTATATGTTTGCATCTGTGCAAAAGTTTATTGGCAATTTTTGGCCATTTTGTGAAGCGTTTTGCAAGCGCTGAAACGTGCCAGCATATATAGTAATTATATGATGATATGTGGAAAGGTTTTTAAAGGATTTAGCTAGAACTAATTTAATAGTTTTTGGATACTATTTTTGAGTGTTGTAAAAGGGTGACGAGATTTTAAACGCTAATTATTTAATTTACTCAACTAACATATACCAATGTTTTAAGCATTAGATTGTTTACTTTTTCAAGACATCAACTTATTTGCATTTTACTCCCTGAATATGTAATCTTCTTTATTGTTTCCTTACTTTATTATTATTAATTATTCCATCGATACTCGGTTCCTAGAGGCCAAAGTAGAGTTATTCAAATTGGCTCTGGAGATTTTTGGATTTAAATAATCAGTTCTGGTGGCCCACCCCCCCGGTTTCCCATCCCACGCCCACCTGCCATCCGCCCAATCACTCAGCCAACTGTTCATTTTACAGCTTCCCCTTTTTTTTGCTGGCCGCCTGGAGTCGGTTTAACGCTTAAATTAGCCCAAAAAACACTAAGGATCAGAAGATATAGCCCAACCCACCACCGAACTACCTATGGAAATATTTTAGACATTTTCCCCGGCGTTCTTGACAGCCGCAAACTGAGGATAAAAACGGTAGAGAAATTACCAGGAAAAAAATATTCATTTCGCTTTTCCTTTTTTTATGCCGTTTTTCTGATCATTTTTTCGCTGCTGCTTCTTCGTTTGTTAATTTATAAAAAACGCTTGAGGCTTCTTGACGGCGAGGGGGAGGGGGTTTCGGGATGTGGGGGGGTGCAAGGTGAGGCCAAGTGTCGCCTGGTGGGCGGAGAAAAGTGGGTGGGGATGGTGGAAAGTGGGTGGTGGGGGGTGGCGAAGGTGCGAGGTACGATTTTCGGTGGTGGAACGAGAAAAACTTCAAACGAGATAAATACAATTTCCATTAGGCCTCGCGGAAAATCCCCTCGAAGCACATTCATACTTTTCCTTATCCACATATATGCACAGAAGAAAATAATATATTTTTCAATATAACTATGCACTTTAAAACTAGTTTTCAAAAAATATTTTTAAAGATGGAAAACCGGTCGGTTCAAATATTACTTTATGCATTTTTCAAAGCATTCTAAAGTAGATATTTTTAACTTTGATTAAAGTTGCTTGGATTAATTTGGTTTTTTTATTGTTATATATTTATAAGATACACATTTTATAGCTAAGACGGAGAATTAAATATTTTCTTATTTCAAGCAATAAATTTTTTAATAAAAACTTCTTTATATTCTGTTATTTCTCCCAGTGCATATATGCAGAACTTAAACATTGTCAGTTATTTCTTGGCCCACTCCACTTGAGGTTTTTTCCTATTGATTTTAGGGCTTTTTCACAGTTTTTTCCAGGGCATTTTCCCCCAATTTCTGTTTTCAAGAAACCCCTGTAGCCACAACCCCCCGCTTTTTGGCCCTTCTTCGGTCTGTTTTACGTTAATTTTTTAATTGTAAATATTGCCTAGGGTCGAATTTTTCATCTGGGCCCGCAGTTGTCCCTGTACTTTTTCGCCTTCCAACCCAAAAATATATATATGTATTTAACAGAAAAAATTCCCTTCAATCTGCCTAAAGGTTCATAATTTTTCACCCCCTCGACCCCACGATGTTTACATAATTTGTACGTTACAACGCGCACACGAAACTCACTTTTTGGGCCACTTTCGCCCGAATTTTTTAATAGATTTCTGCGGTGGGAAATGTGCGCAGTTGTTGTTGATAATAAGTACATAGAAGGCGTGGCATGTTCAATTATTTGCTCTGGCCAAAGGGAAACAAAATACTAGACACCAAATAATCATTGTACGATTTTTCTCGATTATTTTTATGTTGATGGGCATTTTTATTGCCCGCCAGCTAATTGCAAACTATTGGCGAAAACACACACGCAGTGCGTCTTATGATGCCAATAAAGTAGGGTTATGGAGCTCCTATGCCATCTTTGGGGGTTCGGGTATTAGAAATTATGACAGCCCAGGGCAATTTGCGCCTTCCCAGTAAATCCCGGAATTTATATAGAGACCAAAAGACGAAAGGGAGTTTGTTTTGTTTTGCAAGTGTATTTTTGTTAGTGTCTTTTTCCAAATAGTTGGCCATAAAGTTTACTATATAATAGTGCCGGACAAGGACGAATGGAGCGACTGGGTGGTTGGTTCTTGCGGTGGTGCAGCTAGGTAGTTCACTTCCGTATATTCCCAATCTTTAGTGGGCCGGAGAGATGGCCATCTCCTCCTAATGGGTCATCTCCGGCCTTCAAACGATCGTCTGATGTATATATGGATATTCTATAGAGAAGATATATTAAGAACATGGATTTTTCCCAACTCACCACTGCCAATTCCGAATCCATCGATCAAAGAGTGAGAATTCAGCTGCATTGCACTGCACAATCCAAAGCAAGTCTTCGTTGAGAACTCTTCCATTCTCACACGATATCGGGGTTACGGGGAATTTTGGATACAGCAAATTTTTAACTTCAGATTTTTCGTATGCCTTTGTTGTCCAAGTCTGTTTATGTATGTGTAGCGCATCTGGGAAGTTCATATGACCGGCCTGCTTGAGGGTTCCTAGTTAGCTAGGGATTAAATAGTGATTTTTAAGATATTAAAAAAGCCACAATAAAAGTTTGTAATACTTACTTCAGTGTAGATTTCTTTGCTTTCATGGTAGTTCTTCCCATTAGAGTATTTGCATTCAACACCGTGTAATTCAAGTGTACGTCAAGTGTGCGTTAAGTGTGACATCAGTACAGTAAAACGTGAGGCCGCCCACATTTCTCTATAACACTTTATGCTTAAGCCTAATAAGAACTCTTAACAAAACAATTAACAAAACGAGTAACGAAACAAATATCAAAATATATTTTTTAAAAAAGATGTTCACCGAAAATAGACCGAAAATATTTGTAGTTTTTTTTGGAATTTTGTACTTGTTACCTCGACAAGATGTGTTGGTTGACTGAATTTTTTGGGGTCTCGACGAGCTTAGGTACTATTTTGGAATGACATTTAAAAGCATGGATAGTTTGATCAAAAAAATGTGACTAAATTTAAAAACATACACTTAGAATATGTACATTGTACATAATATGTATTACATCAATAATAAAATAAGTATTAAAATCATTTATTTAAATAATGTTTTTAATTATTTTAAAAAATCTTCGGCATATATAAACACTAGTTGTGACATTATTATTACTTACTATTATTATTTAAGTTTTTTAATAAATATATATTTACTATAACTATTAAAAAAAATCTTGGGCTTAAGTAAAAACTAGTTGTGGCATTATTCAGTTAACTTATAAAAAAAAATATATATATAATATAAAAAGACTAGTTTTGGTAGTGTTATATAAATTTTTAAATATTTTTATATATATTATAATCAATTAATTAATTTTAAAAAGTCTTGGGCTTATATAAAAAACATATATAAAATAATATTTATAAAATATATAAAAACTAGTTGTGACGCAATTAAATAAACTTTGATAATCTAAGATAGATTAAGTATTTATATAAATTAATACTGGGTGAAGTAGGTTTTAAAGTATATTGTGACTGCCTTGAGGTCTGATTATTTCCAGATATTGGTTGTGTGCTGGGCTCACTGTTTTCCAGCCCCTTTTGTTTTCCCTTTTGGGGTGGCGGTGGGCGTGGCGGGACACACATGTGAAGGTCACGACCCAGAAAGTGGCAGGAGATGGAGTCGCCAAAGGCCAAGTAAGAAGAAGGCAAGGAGGAAAGTCGCTTTTTGGCTAATGAAAAAGAAATAAAAGTGTCGAGTGCATTATTGCCAAAGGCACACACACATACCCACAGAAATACATATGCTCACACAAACACAGGCACATATCATTTTCCTTGGTAATTGTTGAAACATTTTTAGTACTAGTCTGCGTGCTACGTGTCTGTGTCCTTTTCGCCACCCACACCCAGATTTCCCAGCCCCCTTTCTGGCACTCCACCCCCCTAATTTCGACCGCCGGCTATTATTTTGCACTTACTATAACATGCACATAAATATTTTTCCTTCGGCCCCTCATTTTCCGACCCACGTGTGTGAGTGTGTGTGTGGCTATTTTATTGATACTAACACAGAAAGCCCACGCATCCTCGTAAAAGGACATGTGAGCACGGACTTTTCCTTTTCCCCGGCTCGTTTTTATTGTCGCCTTGGCGAATCTCTGTCAAAAAGCAATAATCATCAATTCTGATTCCTTTTCTTTTTTTTTTTGCTGCTTTTCGGCAAGGACATTGTCGTCTGTTGGTGGCTCGATTTGATATCAAATTGATTATTATTTATGTCGGACGGGGACCAATTGCCTCTGCCACTCATTCTTGGCTAATTGGCAGAAGATTCCGTCTAGAAATTAGGCCTATTTATGCGTTTTCCTAAGCTCAAGAGTAAATAATACTATAATAATAAGCTAATGATATAAAATTTGTATATAAGTACATTATTACTAATACATTTTATGGATATATTATAGTTACTTAAATAATTTTATCTTTATATTATATTTTATTATAAAACATATTTAATAATATAATTGTCACAGACTTCTAAGCTATTTAAATATTTGTATACAAAATTTCCTTAGTATGGAATATATATTATTACCAATATATTATAGGCATTATTATTGGTTATTTAAATATTTGTGTTAAGAATTTTCTTAGAATGGAATGATCTAATAATATAATAACAATATATATATATTATATTACCACTATAATTTATGCATGTTTAATAGTAGCTTAAATATTAATAGTTCCCCAGTATGGCGATTATTTTCAAATTTTCTTATCAACTTAGCCTTGGAGCCCGAATTGTCAAGGGCCTTAGAGCTCGAACGGCATAAGTTCAGTTATAGAGAGACGGTCCTACGAAACATACCTATATTTCTCCCCTAAAACCAAATATATTATTTTGTCTAAATTTTCACGAAAAAATATATAGAAATGGGACTGTTTGCCTCAGGAGGAAGTTTCGGTAAGTTTTACTCCAGTTACAAGTTATTCAACCGGTTTTAGTTTTCGTCTTTGAATTCTTTGGTCGGCAACCAAGTACGTGGGTCTAAATTACTTAATTTTAATTTCCCGTAGGCGCTCCTTAATCAGCAACTATTAATGCTGCACTTTGCTTATTTACGAGCTCCAAATGACTTCCATTGAGTGTCGTCCGTTTTTTTTGCGTGGGCAGCTACTGTTCCTCGTCCTCGGTTTCTTTTTCCGTGGCCTTTCATACTTTTTGTCCTCCCCTCGCTCCTCAATTGGCATCTTGTGCTTTTGGGTTATTTATTGCGATACTCAAGGCCCGCGATGAGTCAGCGAGGGGAGATGGTAAGGTTAGGCGGACTTATTTATTCAAAAAGGAATTGTATTTATTTATTTATTTGACGTCAAGCTTCCCAAAGCCTACTTGTAAATAAATAACTTTACAAAGTATTTGCTAAATAGTTTTTAATTTAAAAATAAATTATAATATGCCAACTTCTACTACTAACATTCTCTTACCATATATTTGTGGCCCTCCACAACTCTTCTTTAGCTCTTATTTAATTTTCAAACGTCAAGTTTCTCAAAGCCTACTTGTGAATAAAATGACGCCTATTCCTTATTTATATAACACTAACAACTTTTTAAAAAGTTCTATAGTTTTTAATTCTACCATAAATATTCCCTTACCATATATTTTAAGCCCTCCCCAACCATTTGTCCTTGTACTTTTAGTCGCTCGTTGCTTATTTTGCCCACAGTTTGTCACACTTAATTAAAGAAAATTTTAAGCACTTTAGATGTCAATTTGTGCCCACTTCTCGCAGTGCCCAATACGTTGACAGTTGCCAGTTTAGACCCCCCTTTTCACCAGCTTTCCCCCCACATTTTCAATTGCGTCAAAAGGGGCAAAAATAAAAGTATACGAAAAAAGAAGAAACGGTTTAATTAAGTTGAAACCCTTTCGTGCGTGCCGGGGCCAGTTGGCAGTGCCATCCGAGAAGGAGAATCCCGGACCGAACCGAACCGAACCCACTTTCCAGACCCCCGAGATTCCGATCCAAGTGGCTCAAGTGGCCAAGTCACCAAGAGTCGACTTGAGTCGAGTCGGCCCAACTCGGGGCGTGTTAATTTCCAAGGTGTTTGCTATTCCAAGCTGTTTCCGTTCTAATATAAAAAATAAGCGTAATTAAAAATCAAATGATTTTTTCCTTGGTCCTCAAAAGTCGTCGTCCCCCCATCTTTACCATCCGACGACAGCGAAATATCTTCATTAATTTTGCTCTTTTGCTGTGGGACAGCGGGAAATCCTTCGCCTCTATCCTTTCCAATTCATTCAATGCTGCACAATTTTTAACTCATTAATTGGTGTGGGCAACCCTTTTTTTTACCCTTTGGGCTTCACCCTTGCTTTTGGTGAAAAATCTAGACGAAAATGTCCTGAAAACGGAGCCAAGTGATTTATTTGTTTAATCCCTTTCATTTTCGACCGATTTCTTTTTATTTATTTTCTTGCCCAGCCACTTGAAATGTTGCTGATTAGAGAAAAGAACAGAAGACACCAACTGAAGTGGAAGGGGAATTGGGATTAATTTCTTGGCATTTATTAAAAGTCTGCATTAAGATGGGATTGTATTCGAAGAAGTTTAGCATAGAGAATATACTCCTCGTTGAGCAAATAATTAATATGCCCACTTAATGCCCTATCTAAAGTCGCAATACTCTTCCACGAACACCGCTTAATTGATTCGTTATCGATTCGCTTTGACCCTCTTCATGGCCCATCAATATGGCTAAGAGTGAGAAAAAAGGGGAAGAGGGGCTCAGAGCGGAGGATCGACAGACATTGAGCGACCAATGCGACTGGCAACTTGTTTAGCTGATTTTAATCCGCATTCGATACGGTAACAATTTTTACTTCATCACTCTCCCGGCAACCGAATGGCCATCTCTTCATCGGCCGCAGCTGAATCTCGTGGCTTCCACACCAATCAAGGAACCTCGGGAGGCGGGACGAGCGGGACGAGACGAGCTTTTGACATTCGCATAACTTCCGATTTAATCCCAGCGCGTGAACGTCGTCGTCGTAGTCGTCGATCCCCATGTCCCAATCGCTTGAGCGGTTTCAGCATCAGTAGTACACCGAGAGAAATATATATATATATATATATATAGATTTATAATGGAATAACCTTAGCAACAGTTATATTATTATTACCTAAGTATTAGGTATCAGGTTAGCCTTCAGCTTATTTTTGTTGATTTCTTACAATCTAAAATCATAACTTAACCCTAATTATGTTTAATCAAAGATCCTTTAAAATTAATTGTTGAGAAATTGATTTTCTACTTCATTATAATTAATAACATAAAAAGGCCCCACGTTGGGCGCCACAATATTGTTCAGCCATTGCCCAATGTTGATTAGTTGCATTTTTAGCCAGTTACATCTTAATTCAGGACTAATACCAATTAGTTCTTCTTAGTGCACCACAACTTCTCGGTTCGCATCGCCTCTTGCTCCATCTGCTGAGTTATGCGCTTCTGTGCGTTGTCGTATTTTGTAAGCTTTTACGCGCCGGCTACCAAGAGCCCAACTAAACCGAACCAATCCGATCCCATAGGAGCAGAACCATCCCCCCTCCCCTTCATTCCTTTCCGATCTGATACGATACGATCCCCGATCCTCGATTCCCCGAGACATAGCAGCATCGTTGAAGCGATAAAAGATCAATTTAGTTGCGCCACAGTCGCCGCTGATTTAAATCCGATCATTGCGCGACGATTTGATGCGAACTGAAACATGCACAAGGAATTTGCAATTATCGAACTTCAAAGGCCCTCTTGCCATACAACCCGTTTTTTTATCGTTTTTGTGCTGATCATCTTACAAATTTGATCGCGGCTTGGGAATCACTGGGCTGATGATTAGGTGTGAGGTGATATTTGAGATCAGTTAATTGGCAGACCAGTAGTACTAGATATTCAGCATTTTTAAATGATTTGAAATCGGTTTCGTGATAAAAGGGCTGAAATACTTTGTTTTGGGGGGGTTAAGCTCACAGCTCGAAAAATCAAATAGCAAAGAACTACAAATTACATGCCGAAATGCACTTCAATACAAAGCACTTGGGTAAACACCAGCAGACAGACAGCGGGGGCGATGGGGAAAAGGGGGCTGGGCACACCTGTGGGCCACTCTGAATTTTCCTGTTTTCCCCCCAACTTTCCCAGCTTTTCCCGCCACTTCCACATTGTCGATGTAAACCTTAAGGTATTTTGCGATAATTGCACATTGCTGTTGTTGCTCCCGCCGCCAAAAAGAGTTTGCAAGGGTAGTCCAACCACCCCAACTCCCACTTTCACCCACTTCCGCCCACTTTTCGTATGTCTGTGCGCAAGATAAACAAAAGACAACTGTTCCATGTGTTTGTGCGTGAATCGTCTGGCACATGTCTTCGCTTTCCCCACTACTTTCCAGCTATTAATAAAGCGAAACTTCGAGCCTGGGGTTTCCATATCAACTTGTTTGCCGTAGCCGGTGACGACTGTACTTACTACTTAATTAATTCAAATCTTGCTAATTGCATTTTATTTGCTTTCGCTGCGCAGATTTCAAGTTTTTAATTGCAAATCTCTTTTTCCCCATTGAGAACACACGCGCACATCCTTTATAAACACATGATAAGTTTTCTATATTGACATACCCTACCTGTGTTTTACTTCTCAACGATTTAAATATATATACTTTGAGCTGATCTTGTATTATATTTTGCAGAGGGTGGAATTGAAGTTATTAATACGATCGTGTTGAAGTTGTATCAGCTCGTTGATTTAGTGTTTAATCGTACCGAGACCCATTACGATACTGGTTTGGTGGCCGGACTGGTCGGCATTGCCGTTGCCATTGGCGGATGCGTAATATATACGATTATGAAACGTCAGAAGTATTATGTGAGTTTAGAAATCGATTCTTCTCGAGCCTTGTCTAAAAGTCCTCTTTATAGAGCATCCTTTTCGGTGCACCCAACGAGGAAGCTGATCAAGTTGAGGAAGAGGAAGCCGAGGACAGTGAGGAGGCCGATGTGGAGGGTGAGGCCGATGTGGAGGGTGAGGCCGATGTGGAGGGTGAGGCCGATGTGGAGGGTGAGGCCGATGTGGAGGGTGAGGCCGATGAGGAGGGTGAGGCCGATACCCTGGTGGATGAGGACTATTTGGAAGACTCGATGTCGAATGACGCCACTGACAACTCTGAGGAGCTGGAACCGATTGTCCAGCAAGACACACAGACTGAAGAGGTGCCACCGCTCAATTTGGATGAACCCACTGAGGTTGCAGCCGCTGTCCCGGAGCCGAGGACCAAGAGTCCTCCCAAGAGTCCTCCCAAGAAGAAGTTTGCCATCAAGCCCGTTGCCACCATGTATAGTAAGGAAGAGAGCTACAAGGTGATCCAGGCCAGGGAGGCTGGACCCATGGAGCTGGAATCGATTGTCCAGCAAGGCACACAGACTGAAGAGGTGCTCAATTTGGATGAACCCACTGAGGTTGCAGCCGCTGTCCCGGAGCCGAGGACCAAGAGTCCTCCCAAGAGTCCTCCCAAGAAGAAGTCGGGCATCAAGCCCGTTGCCACCATGTATAGTAAGGAAGAGAGCTACAAGGTGATCCAGGCCAGGGAGGCTGGACCCATGGAGCTGGAATCGATTGTCCAGCAAGGCACACAGACTGAAGAGGTGCTCAATTTGGATGAACCCACTGAGGTTGCAGCCGCTGTCCCGGAGCCGAGGACCAAGAGTCCTCCCAAGAGTCCTCCCAAGAAGAAGTCGGGCATCAAGCCCGTTGCCACCATGTATAGTAAGGAAGAGAGCTACAAGGTGATCCAGACCAGGGAGGCTGCATCCGTGGAGCCGCTCAACAAGCTGCTGACACCCCGCACCGTGGCTACCCGGCACCGCACCTCGGTTGCCGTTCAGTTCCCGGCTCAGGCTCCGGTTCCGCCCCCAAAGCCCGAGGACCGTACCGGTTCTTCCAGGCGTGGACGAAACTAAGCCGTGCATCCCTCTTGATGGCGTTACGTTTTCTTTTTTGGTTTTAGTTACTTATATATTTTTTAAATTTCTACAATTGTACCACACGTCGTTCACAAGAATCATGGAGGGTATTTATCCTAGTCCTAGCCAATATATTCCGTCAACTCTAAAAACTCTCCACACGCTTTTCGAGATGGCTCGCCAGTTTTAGGGTCTTCTCGACACAAACACCTACAAATGTTAGACGAGCTATCAAACCAAAATTGTTACCGTCGAGTATTCGAAAGTAGAGGGGCCTTCCAAATTGCCAAACCATTAAATGTTTCGATCAAAAATGCAGTTACTATTGTATTTTTTATTTATAAGGGGGACACAGATTTATATATGGTTACATCATAGACCGAAATGGTACTTATATGAGTAGAGCCTATCTATAAGTGGGAACACAGAGCTATACGATCTGAAATTGTGTTTTTGATAGACATATTTTCTAAGCTCTGTTATTTAATTGCCCAAATGGGTTTGTCATGGGCTTAACTTGTATGAAATGGAGCCTAAAACCTATAGCCTAAAACCGAGTGCTATCCAAGGACACGTTCCTGCCATCATCATGTTCAATGGCCGCTCAATAGACTCTCCTCGTATCCGCTGTTGTAACTTGCTGGCCCTGCCAGCTGTCGCTGCGGTTGGCCGCCTAATGGTCGTCAAAGGGTCGGAATATGGGGCCGAAGGACCCCCATTTCAGCACCCCCCCTTCGGTAGAGCCATGGCCGCAGTCATATGGTGCTGACACCCCTGCGAAGGGAGAGAGATACATCCCAATGGCCCGGGCGCCTTTGGATTTCATTAAACGCAAATTTATGCCTTTACTTGAATGTCAAATATTGCAAATGTCAAACGATGAGGCGGCCAGTGGAAGAGCATGGGGATATGGGATAAGGCACTGGAAAAAATTCTACAAGGCCTAAATCATCAAAATAGAATTTTAAAAATTTTAATATGGGTTGGTAAGCTCGATTTATAAATCTTTAATCAATTGCCCTACTTAAATGCGTTTCAAAATTATTATAAGTCATCTAGAAATGTGGAATATTAAAAAATTATATGTTAAATCTATTTGAAAGACTTTTAAAATAAATTTCAAAATATCTTCAATCTTTACAATCCAAATACAAATTTGGAATATAGATTAAATTATCTCTAAAAATATTTTTCATCTTCACTAAACACTTGTAAAGAAAGAAAAATGAAATAAACATATACGATTATTATAATATCTTTCAAATAATCTCACATCTTCATAAAGTTCTTCTTTTTTATATAAAGTTGGTCTTATTTTCTAGCAGTGCCTGGCATGGTATGGCATTGAGTCCCGTTAGACAATAGTGTCCTTCCTTGGGGGTAAAGTAGGAGGTGGCCCATCGACGAACCCTGTCTCTGTTGGTTTTTATGCGTTGTTCGTTTTGTAATTAAGCGACGCACTTGGTTGGATTTGGGTTGGAAATGGGAATGGGAATGTTATAGGCAATGGGGAATGGGATGTGGAATCGGAATTGGAAGGGCAGAGCGGGATGTGCTTTAAATGGAATGGGTATGTATATAGATATTTAAGTTTCGGTCTGGCAACTGATGGACTTGCGGAAGGTCCTGTCTCGAAAATCGTCATGAATATATTTGTCCTGCTGCTACTGCTGGTCATCCGCCGTGTCCTTTTTGCCGATGCATTGACCCAACATCCAACCATCTAGATTTGCGGTCAAAGTTGGCGTTTGACATTTATGCCGGATGTCAAGTCGTCCCAAGGAGCAGAAGGTCCTTCTCCAACTGGGTCCATTGTCATCATCATCATCAGCAGTGTCCATTTTGTGCTTGTTATTGTCACTTGCCTTGGCCTTAACTCTTCTTTGTCCACTTTTTTGTCTCCGGTTTACCCCCAAAAACAAACTACACAGCTATCAATACCAGAATGATATACATTTGGGGGGTTGTGGGGATTGGAGTGTTAACCTTTTCCGGGTCCAAGTTATTGTTTGTCCCGTTATAGTTTCTATTCAATCGGGTCGTATATAGGGTCGGGTCACTTGGTTTGGCTGGCAAATGCACCCCGGAGGGCGTTTTCATTTTCATTGCCATTGCCACTGCCATTTTCCATTTCCATTCGCATTTCGGATATTTGTGTATTTGACATTTGGCTCAAGTGTTGCTGACTTTTCGGTTAGTTCTTTCTTTGGGCCCACTCCATTGTGGGCTTTGTTTGCCTGTTTTCGTTGTGCTCTTAATTAAAGTTTGGTCAACTGTTTAATGCTCAATGGATCGGTCAGCCTTGGGTCATAATGAGAGTTTGAACATTGGTTTGGGGGCCATATTCCAAAGGGAATCTTAACAAAGAACACTAGTTGTGTTCGCAATTCAATTTAATCAGGCAGGGCTTACAGATACCCATATTAATGAAATGTAATTCTCAAAAACAAGACAACAAATCGTTTGATCTTTTTGGTAATTAAAAATATTTTAGGAAATAAATGTATATTTTTTTGATTACCTTACTGATGTTAGTATAATTTATAATATTATTTTAAGAATAGTTTTTCGTATATCTTGGCTTGCCTGCCCTTTAGACACTCCTGGGAGTGCTCTCTGCTTTTTTTTGTCCACCTCCACTTTTTTGCCAGAACCTTTTTACGATGCTTGGCCCCAAAAGAGCATCACGTAGCGAATCACTTAACTTGATTCCATGACCACCCCCCATTTTGCCATTTTGCCGCCTGATGAGGCTGATGGCACAATGGGGAATCCCCGCACAACAAAAGAATACGAGCGACTGAAAATAATTTGCAGTTATTTGAGGCAAGCACGCAAATGCGTTCGAATCAATTGTCCGATTGCGCCGATTGTTCAGATTGCTCAGATGATGGCTAGCCTTCTGCTTTCCTTGTTTTGGCCGCAAAAAAATGCGTTCAAATTGAAATGAAAAGCTCAGCGTGCAACGCATCCCAAATGATGCAGTTTCCAGAGGGGTGTGGTGAAATTTTCCCGCTTGTTTTCCTTTTTTTTCTCTTTTTTTCTCAGTACCAGCAAGGGTATACTGGTTTTGGGTGCTAGTGTAAAAGTATATTACTATTTAAATTTGAATAAACTAAATACAAATGGAGAAGATTATAATATAGGGATCTTTCATAATAATAACCAAGTGCATTTAACACATTTTAAGATTTAACGAATTCATCAAAATGTATTCCTATTAAATCCATATCGTTTTTATTTTGGCATAAAGTAAGTAACTTTAAGCCTAAAAACACAGTTTTTTTATATCTCCTTAAAACTATATTTCAAAGACAGTCCAGTTTTAAACATCCATAGTATCCTGAAGTTATCTCTATTAATACAGGATATCTAAAGGTTGGGACAATCGATCTTATAAGGTTGTTCTTTTTCTGGGTGCGTGCCGTGTGCGGTTAGAGGGTTTTTACTTTCACTTTCACTTGGCCAGTGCAACTTTCACCCGGGCTGAAAAGGGGGCGTGGCCAAGAGGCTGGTCAACCGGCGGCACGTGTCCTAATTTTTTGGGGTATCTTGTTGTTTTTTTGTTGTGCTCTTGGCCTATAAATAATTTGTGGCAGGCGCTCAATGAGTTTGCTTTTTTTCCAGTGATGTCATTTGTAAATGGCATGTTATCAATTTTCGAGATGATTGAATCAAGTGATTTGTGTGCGTGTCAAAAGGGAGTTGTCCGAGAATTCTGGGGATTGGGGATATATAATATCTGGAATCTGTAGCACACACACACACGTGTCTGGGGAAACTCCTTTTGAAGTCGCCTGCTTGTTGGTTTTTCGGCTAAGGAAAAATATCCTAAGACTGTTTGCCTCTCGGCTTATTAAGAGATTATCAATTTCTTTTGATGCAAGACGCGTATACCATCTATGTGGATGAGAATATGGTAGGTAATGAGAAAATTGAGCTGGGGATAACGAGGCTAATGGCTGCTGGGCGACAGGACAGCCAACTAATGGCAGTTGGGAAAGCTGGAAAAATTGTGGGTTGGGGAGATAATATCAGGACAACAACCCACACACACATCCATCACATCCTTGCTTTTTTTCGGCTAGTTTAGCTTTCCGAAATTGACTTGCAGTTTCGACTGGCAACAGATGCGACGACCGTTGTCTCATTGCGAATGCACAAAGACAAAGTTGTCCGGCGGTGCTTAACCCTTTGCTGGCCCCACTCCGCGGAATTCGCCCAGCCACCCCACTTAACCCCCTCGGCGTGCCCTTTCTGCATTAAGAAATTAAAATCTGCCCTAGAAAAATGCACGGAAAAGTGTGTGTTTGGCTTGGTGCACATGTGCTGCCAGCTTTTCCCAAACCATTTTCCCAGCCCCCAGCCCCCTTCTTCACCCCTTCGACATTCAGCGGTGTTTTCCACCCGAGTGTTTTGTTATTTTTGCGGAAGTTTTGTAATTGCGGAAACGGCAACTGCTTCAGTTTCGGTCTCAGTTTTAGTCCCAAGTCCCCATCTTCAGGTTGTGCACTCTCAAAAAAGGAATAAGGATTAAAAAATAAATATGATTCTTTTTCTGGAAACATTAAACTGAAGTAAAGGGGAAGTAAGTGGACTTAAATTAGTGATTAATACTTAACAAAAGTTAAGCACTCTATTCATTTAATTAAAGCACTTCTTGATATTTATTACATTTTTATTTAATATACAAAGCTCTTTTCTTCAACTAACTGAAAAATTAAAAAAAAACGCGAATTCTTCAGTTTCTTTTAATTAGAAGGGCTTGCACTATTTATACTTTTCAAAGTAAAGTATAATATACATAATGCTACTTTAAATTTATATCATTTCTATATTTTTTATACAAAGTCGACCAAACTAGCCCAAATATGTAAAAGATCAAAACGCGAATTCTTCAGATTCTTTAAGGGAGGAAGTCATTTTAAATGTTTTTAGGTGATCTTTTCCCCCAGTGCAGATTTGTCTTTGGCACAGCCTTAGTCCTAGCTCCGATTTCAGCTGCAACACTATAACTCTGCAGTAGTATTCGTATGCACGTGTGTGTGAAGTATCTGTGTGCCTATCCGTGTGTGGCTGCTGCTCAAGTGTTCGATATGCGGCCCGTCGACAACTTGTTCCTTCGGGTGTTGCTCGGTAGGTAAACTTGCAGAACTTGAAGTTATGGACGCGTAAATTGAAAATACACACGAGAATGCACACACACACGTGTATACACACGGTCGCTTTTCCGACTCACCCCACACTTTCCCCGCTTTTCCGCGACCCACCAACAATGCAACGGTTCGTGGAACGCGGTCGCCACATTATTGAAACTA